CACTTTAATTCTAGATCCCACCTAGGTGGGTGTCTTTGGGCCAATCACTAGGAGACGGTGAGTTCTAGTGCCGCCTTAGCCATGAAAGCCATCTGGGTGACTTTGGGCCAATTACCAGGAGATGGTGAGTTCTAGTCCCACCTTAGTTCTAGATCCCACCTGGTTGGGTGACTTTGGACCAATCACTAGGAGACAGTGAGTTCTAGTGCCGCCTTAGCCATGAAAGCCAGCTGGGCGACTTTGCATTTATCACCAGGAGACTGGGAGTTCTAGTTCTGCTTAGCCATGAAAGCCAGCTAGGTAACTTTGGGCCAATCTCTCTCTCCCTCTCCCTCTCTCCCCAAGCCACCTCACAGGATTGTCGTTGTGGGGAAAAAAAAGGAGGAAAATGTATTGGATGTGTTGGTTGCTTTGAGTGATTTGTAAAAGCAATAAATAAATAAAATATTTATTTATAAGACACCCACCAAAAGTGTTCAGGGAAGCAAAATCTTTGGCGTCCAGTTTAAGTCTTGTTTCCCCCCCCCCCAATGGCGGAAGAAAGGAAGGAACAGCCGCGAATCAGAAAGAATATAGTGGGTTATTAAGGCTGTTTGTCTTTTTTATAGTATTTCTTTGCGGTAATCTTTCTGTCACCCGTAAGAACAATGACCCCAAACGACCTCTTTATATTTAGAGATTGTAAAAGTGATTTGGCAAAACTTTTTTTCCTCTCTCTCTCTCTCTCTCTCTCCAGGACTAAAACTGCTGTCACATACGCTAAGAAGTCAACGCCTGTATTGGGGGGGGGGGGGGAATATTACGCAATATTATGTATATTTGTTTGTTTTTCCCCACCGGTTGGTTTTTATTAGCTTGTGCAGGCTGGCTTACATTAGCAATATCCTGCTTGGTTTTTACACTCCGGATGTGTTTTTACACAAAGTTTGCAACTGACAAATTTAATTAGGCAATTAAAAAAAGAGCATTCTTTGTTATTTGAAAAGGTGAGGCCCTGTTCGATCTGCGGTCAAATATTCAGTAATTATTCATTTAGTGACCATTTTAAATTACAAACTAAACTTGAAGGCATAGTTTGACTTACCACAATTCGTTTAGTGGCCATTCAAAGTTACAATGGCACTGAGTTATGACCGTTTTTCTCACTTACGACCGTTGTAGACTCTCCAGGATCACGTGATTAGAATCCGGTTGCTTGGCAACTGATTCGTATTTATGACGGTCACAGAGTCTCGGGATCACAGGATCCCCTTTTGCAACCTTTTGACAAGCAAAGTCAATGGGAGGAAGCCTGATTCACTTAACAACCATATGACTCACTTAATAACTATAGCACAAAAGGTGATAAAATGGAGCAAAATTCACTTAGCAACTGCTTTGTTTAGCAATGGAATTGTTGGGTGCAATTGTGGTTACAAAACTGAGGAGTATCCGTAGAGTATTATTCCTCTAAAAAAATTTTGGGTAGCTTATTTAATGGATACTTTGAAGACTGATTGGTCTTTTCGTGGCATGACTAAGCATTTAAAAGAAAATTACAATTATTATGCAGAATATTATACAAAATAATTATAAAATTATTTTTAATCATTTCATTCACCAATCGATTAAAGTAATTTAATTAAATTAAAGCAATACACAGGTAGTCCTCGATTCACAACTCATTTAGTAACTGTTTGAAGTTACAACGGCAACAAAAAAAGCGACTTCTGACCATTTTTCACACTTACGACCTTTGCATCACGTGATCCAAATTCAGGCATTTGGCAACTGACATAAGTATGGGGAAGCCGGATTCACTTAACAACTGTGTGACTAATTTAGCTACTGCAGTGATTCACTTAACAACTGTGGCAAAAGGTCGTAAAATGGGGCAAAACTCACTTAACAACTGTGTGACTAATTTAGCTACTGCAGTGATTCACTTAACAACTGTGGCAAAAGGTCGTAAAATGGGGCAAAACTCACTTAACAACGGTTAGCAACATAAAATTTGGGCTCAACTGTGGTCAGGGACTACCTGTATATTATTTGATATCACGATTATGAGTATGGGAAACCTCTATAAAATTTCTTTTGCCCTCCCTAAACAAGCAATTTAATAAAACATGATTGCTCGCTTGCTCTTTGGTGTGGATCAAGCAAACACAGCTAACCAGGAATGGACAAACAACAGGACCAATTGTGCTGTTTGTGATGTGTGTTAGCATAATATCAGATGGGCAGCTTTCAAAACTGGAGACACAAGGCTGTAATATAATTCTGAGGTATAAATGCAGAACTTCAGCAAAAATGATTGGGAAGAAAACCGATTACGGCAGGGAAGAACAGAAGCGCTGGTTAGCATCATTCTTTAATGTTGGTTAAATCTATGGAAGCCGACAATGAGGATCAATGTTGGCAAGTGAAATTTCTCTCTCCCCCCTCTTTCCCTCCCTCCCTCTCTCCCCCTCCCTCTCTCTCCCTCCCTCCCTCTCCCTTTCTCCCTTTCTNCCCTCCCCCCCTCTCTCTCTCCCTCCCCCCCTCTCTCCCTCCCTTTCTCCCTCTCTCTCTCAAAAAAGTCCATTGTTAAACTGGGATCAATGCAGAATTGGCTAGACACCCAGATGGTGTCTTGAAAAATGCAGGGTTCACAATCACCTGACCGTGGGGAAGCTGCAACGGTCGTTAAGTGTGAAAAACGGTCATCAGTCACTTTTTTCAGTGCCATTGTAACTTTGAACGGTCACTAAATGAACTGTTGTAAAACCGAGGACTAGTTGTACCCTCTAGAAAACGACCGTAGGGAATTCTTCAGACGAAAAAATGCGCTCGTATTTATACATTTTAGGAAAAGAAGAAAAATAAAATGATACACCTGAATATAGGTAGTCCTCGACTTACAACAGTCCATTTAGTGACTGTTACAACGCTGAAAAAGTAACTTATGACCAGTTTTCACACTTATGACCGTTGCAGCGTCCCCATGGTCATGTGATCAGAATTTGGCTGCTTGGTGACTGTCTCATATTTATGACGGCCGCAGCGTCCCGGGGGTGTCATGTGATCCCCCTTTTGCGACCTTCTGACAAGCAAAGGCCGTGGGGAAGCCAGATTCACTTAACAACCGTGTGACTCACTTAACAACTGCAGTGATTCATTTAACAACTGGGGCAAGAACGGTCATAAAACTCACTTAACAAATGTTTCCCTTAGCGACAGAAACTTTGGGCTTAACTGTGGTCATAAGTCAAGGGCTGCCTGCGGTTAAATTACGGGGAATGGAGAAGCAACATTCCAAGGTAGGAGACACTGGACAGAGTGGACAACAGGCAAGACTGACCGAGCCTACGAAGCAATACTCCGATTCTCCGTTTTCAAACAAAATGATGTCCTTGATGAAGACAGCCACGGCACGCAGGATGAAGGACATAAACAGATGCATGTGGATGTAATTCCGGGTGCAGTGCAACTTCCTGGAAAGGAGAAAGAGGACATGTTGGACTTTTCACGTATCTGAAGGTGCTTCCGATCATCTCCAGTGGACGTCAAAGGAAGCTGAGAATCGGAAAACTGCTTAATTCGGAGCATTCTTCAGCTGAAAGTTCAGACGAAGCCAGAAGCTTCTCTTTTAGGCTTGATGGACAAGCAGGTTGAAAAGAGGGTTAAAGTGTGTGGACTTCAACTCCCAGAATTCCCTAGCTAGTAGGGCTGGATTTTGGAGGAGGAGGAGGAGGAGGAGGAGGAAAAGGATGAGAAGGAGGAGTAGGAAGAGGAGGAGGAGAAGAAGGAGGAAATGGAGAAGAAGAAGGAGAAGAAGGTAATGGAGGATGAGGAAGAAGAGGAGGAAGAGGAGGAGGAGGAGGGGAAGAGGAAATGGAGGAGAAGAAGGTGATGGAGGAGGAGGAGGAAGAGAAGAATGAGGAGGAGGAGGAGGAAGAGGAAGAGAAAATGGAGAAGAAGAAGGAGAAGGTAATAGAGGAGGAGAAGAAGGAGGAGGAGGAGGAAGAGGAGGAGGAGGAAGAGGAGGAGGAGGAGGAGGAAAAGGATGAGAAGGAGGAGGAGGAGGAGGAGGAGGAGGAGGAGGAGAAGGAGGAAATGGAGAAGGAGAAGAAGGTAATGGAGGATGAGGAGGAAAAGGGGGAGGAAGAGGGGAAGAGGAAGAGGAAATGGAGGAGAAGAAGGTGATGGAGGAGGAAGAGAAGAAGGAGGAAGAGGAGGAGGAAGAGTAAGAGGAGGAGGGGAAGGAGAGGAGGAAGAGAAAATGGAGGAGAAGAAGGAGAAGGTAATAGAGAATGAGAAGAAGAAGGAGGAGGACGAGGAAGAGGAGGAGGAGGAGAAGAGGAGGAAGAGGAAATGGAGGAGAAGAAGAAAATGATGGCGGACGAGAAGGAGGAAAAGAAATAGGAGGAAGAGGAAGCTAGAAAAGTCCACATATCTTCAAGTTGTGAAGGTTGAGAAACACTATTACAGATAGTCCTTGACTTGTAACCATTTGTTTAGTGACGAAAGATACAACGGCACTGTCCGTTTTTCACACTTGCGACCGTTGCACCATCCCCAGGGTCACGAGATCACAATTCAGATGCTTGGCAACTGACTCATATTTATGACGGTCCCAGTGTCCGGGGGGTGTCACGCGATTCCCTTTTGCGAATCCTTCTGACAAACAAAGGCACAGGGGAAGCCCAGATTCACTTAACAACCCCGTGTCACTAACTTAAACAACTGCAGGGATCTACTTAACAACTTCGACAAGAAAGGTCGTGGCGAAATGCGGTAAAAAAAATCACTTAAGAACGGTTTTGCTCAGCAATGGAAATTGGGAACACCACTGTGGCTGTAACTTGAAGACGGCCTTTATAGAGGGCTGCATTTGGGGGGCGAAGAAGCCCAACCTCTGTGCCCCTCCCCCAATCCCAGGTCCAGGTGATTCCCATTACCTGAAGACGCAGAGGACCATCATGGCAGCTGCTAAAGCAATGAGAGACAAGCTGTGTCCGATTGTGTATCCGGTTTTCACTGTGCCGTAAAAGATGACACTCTGACAAAAGAGAGAGAGAGAGCACAATAAAGCGATCAACACTTCCATCTGGATTGACAAATACAAGCAGTCCTCGACTTACGACCACAATTAAACACTTAATTTCCGTTGCTAAGCAAGACAATGGTTAAGCAGAGTTTTTGCTCCATTTTACGACCTTCCTTGCCACAGTTGTTAAGCAAGTCCCTGCAGTTGTTTAAGTTAGTCACATAGTCGTTAAATGAATCCGGCTTCACCCATTGAATTTGCTTGTCAGAAGATCACAAAAAAAGGGATCGCGTGACCCCAGAGACACCGCGACCGTCGTAAGTATGAGTCAATTGCCAAGCATCCCGAATTTTGATCACGTGACCCTGGGGATGCTACAACGGTCGTAAGTGTGAAAAATGGTCATAAGTCCCTTTTTTCAGTGAGGTGGCCACTTTGAATGGTCAGTAAATAAATTGTTGTAAGTCGAGGACTAATTAAATCAGGGGTCTTCAAACTTGGCCCTTTAATGACTTGTGGACTTCAACTCCCAGAATTCCTCAGCCAGCGTGCCTGGCTGAGGAATTCTGGGAATTGAAATCCACAAGTCATCAAAGGGGCAAACTTGAAGACCCCTGAATTAAATAAACCGAGAAGCCATTAAGTCCTCGTTCTGAAGCATCTTTTGTCTAGTTATCTCTAAGGGTAGTCCTCAACTTACAACAGTTCGGTTACCGACCATTCGAACTTAAAACAGTACTGAAAAAAGTGTGGGTCCTCACACTTACGACTGTTGCAGCAAAAATCTTCCCATCCACTTTCTGGCAAGCAAAGTCAGTGGGGAAAGCGGGATTGGCTTCACAACTGTGGGACTCATTGAACAACTGCAGTGATTCATTTTACAACCAGGGGGGAAAAAGTGGTAAAATCGGGTGTTAAGTGAGTACTTAACAATTGCCTTGGTTAGGCATCCTGTGGTTATAAGCCGAGGACTTTCTTTACCTGCAAACTGAGCCTTACATGGAGTAGGTTTCAATGACCGTCTCAACCACAATAACAGCAACACAACTGTCCTGCAAGGACACCAGCTGTGCCCTGCTTGTATCAGTGCTGTGGCCATCCTTCAAGTACAAGAGAGGCAGTTTGGTCCAGTGGTTATGGCACCAGGTTAGAAAACAGAAAGCTGTGTGTTCAAGTGTTGCCTTAGATATGAAAGCCGGCTGGGTGACGTTGGGCCAATCACCAGGAGACGGGGAGTTCTAGTCCCGCCTTTAGACAAGAAAGCCACCTGGGTGACTTCAGACAAGTCCCTATTCTCAGCCCAACCCACCTCACAGGGTTGTTTTTCAGGGGAAAATAGGAGGAGAAAGGTTTGCTGCTGAGTTATTTGTAATAATAATAAAGGTTGGATACAACTAAATAAACAGAGCTCTCTTAGTCAACTTCCTTCTTTTCTTTTTGGTCTCTTTCCTTCCTTCCTTCCTTCCTTCCTTCCTTCCTTCCTCCCTCCCTCCCTCCCTCCCGTCTTCCCTTCCTTCCTTCCTTCCTTCCTTCCTTCCTTCCTTCCTTCCTTCCTTCCTTCCTTCCTTCCTTCCTTCCTTCCTCCTTCTTTCCTTCCTTCCTTCCTCCTTCTTTCCTTCCTTCCTTCCATCCTTCCTCCCTCCCTCCTGTCTTCCCTTTTTTCCTTCCTTCCTTCCTTCCTTCCTTCCTTCCTTCCTTCCTTCCTTCCTTCCTTCCTTCCTTCCTTCCTTCCTCCCTCCTTCCTTCCTTCCTCCCTCCCTCCCTCCCTTTCTTCCTTCCTTCCTTCTTTCCTTCCTTCCTTCCCTCTTCCTTTCTTTCTTTCTTTCTTTCTTTTTCTTTCTTTTTTTTCTCCCCCCTCCCCTGACTTGGTTCCCCTTGTACTGACCTGTTCCTCAGTGGTTGTCATGTTGGAGTTATACCCACAAGCCACGGGATAGGGGGCAGGATAAATTTCTGACCAGCCATCCCTGGTGCAGTTCCTGCTGATGTTACCTAGATGGGCAACAAAGAAAGATAGCCATAGCAACAGCAAAAATACTTATATACCGCTTCACAGTGCTTTACAGCCCTCTCTAAGCGGTTTACAGAGTCAGGATCTTGCACCCCTCAACACTTTGGGTCCTCATTTTACCGACCTCGGAAGGATGGAAGGCTGAGTCAACCTTGAGCCAGTTAGGATCGAACTGCTGACGGTCGGCAGAGTCAGCCTGCAATACTCCATTCTAACCACTGCGCCACTACGACTCCTTATCATAAAATGTGCTCCCCCCACCTAGATTTATACTGTCCACTATCATAAGTACTCCTTGACTGACAACCACAATTGAGCCCCAAATTTCTGTTGTTAAGTGATACGTCTGTTAAGTGAATTTTGCCCCATTTTACAGTCTTTCTTGCCGTAGTTGCTAAATGAACCACTGCAGTTGTTAAATGAGTAACACGGTCGTTAAGTGAATCAGGCTTCCCCATTGACTCTGCTTGTCAGAAGGTCGCAAAAGGGGATCTCATGTCCCTGGGACACTGCAACCGTCATAAGTACGAGTCAGTTGCCAAGCGTCTGAATTTTGATCCCGTGACTACGTGGGATGCTGCAGTGATTGTATGAAAAATAGTCATAAGTCATTTTTGTAAGTTCAAACGGTCACTAAACAAACGGTTGTAAGTTGAGGACTACCTGTACAGCTGAAAAGGGCTGGTTTGATGGTTAGAGGCAGCTCTCTCCACATTTTAAAGTCCAATTTTGCAAGGTTTTTTTTTTCTCTCCTTTCCTATAAATCACTCAGAGCCACTTTGATACTGAGCAGGGTGGTGTGTAAATTTGATTAATAGATAATTAAATAGGAAAAAAATATTGCTATCCGGTCTTCTCTCCTAGGATCTGGAATTCGTTTTGCAGAATTCAATCCGGGACCAAAATTCTTTCACACTTTTGGACTCATGAGCCCATCCTTAGGAAACTTCTTTCTACCAGAATGTGTGCTTTGGGCTATTTGATGTGTCATATTCATGTGGTGCCTGGTTGTGTGTGGTCTTTCAGTTGTTGATTGGAATGTTAATGGTCAGCTGTCATTGGCTGTTGTTTCCTTGTGCTGCCAAGTCATTGGCTCCCAGGTACCCGATAAGCTGGCGGTGAATCAAATAAACAAGGACATACGTTCATTTTCACAGCTACTAAGATTGTCGGCCGAGCAGATACAAAAACAGCCAGGGAAATGATTGAAGCCTGGGAAATGGGCCCTTTGTCAATCTACAGGAATGCTGATTTACTACCAGTTTAATAAGGTACTTGGGGGCCGATGGCTTGGCAGCACAAAGAAACAACAGCCAGCCATCGACACCCCCCCCCAAACAACAACCACACACAACCAGGCACCACATAAATACCACACATAGAATAGCTCAAATTACACACTCTGCTAGAGAGAAGTTCTTCGAAGATGGAACGACTCCGAAAGCTCATAAGTCAAAACCTCCGATCCCGGAAAACAACCCCGATTGTGTCCTGCAACATTATTCCGGGACCCGTGTATTTGCCTTTACCCAGAATTCACTTTATTTGCATTAAATTCTTTATTCAGCTTGATTCACAGATTCAGATGTGAGCAAAACTCCCAAAGAACTCAGAATTGGCATGCAAAAACTCGGAACTGGAAAGCGTAAAAGAAATATTTAGATTTGTCGCCGTCTTGCGGGGGACCGCAATGATTAATTCCTGGGGCGGGGTGACGCATTCGGAGAACACAATGATCCATGTGTGTTTGCATTAGGGATTGAGACATTTCCTGGTTTGTCATTCAATATAGAAACAGAGACGTGGAGAACGCAATAACTTTTCGGAGTAAAGTTCGGGGCCAGGAAAAAAAAAGGAGAAATTGTTGATTTGGGGCAGAATAAAAACCAAGAATGCCTGAGGCGACAGGGTTGGAGATGATAGCTGGGTATGGTACACAAAAATTGTATTTCTGTGACACTGGCGAATAACATTTTTATTGGCCTAACTACTCTGCTGGAAGCAGTCCTCGACTTATGACTGTAATTGAGCCCACAATTTTGGGCATAAGTCATGATATTTTTTAAGCAGGTGACGGTGTGAGCTGATTTTACAGCGGTCATTAAGCGAGCATGGCGGCCATAAAACATATATATATATATATATATATATATATGCACTTGGAGTCCTTGAGTTATGACCACAATTGAATCCCAAATTTCCATTGCTAAGCAAGACAGTTGTTAACTGAGCTTTGCCCCGTTTTACGACCTCGTGGCCACCGTTGTTAAATGAGTCCCTGCAGTTGTTAAATTAGTAACACGGTTGTTAAGTGAATTTGGCTTCCCCACTGAATTTATTTGTTAATTGAGTTTTGCCCCGTTTTACGACCTCGTGGCCACCGTTGTTAAATGAGTCCCTGCAGTTGTTAAATTAGTAACACAGTTGTTAAGTGAATTTGGCTTCCCCACTGAATTTATTTGTCAGAAGGTCGCAAAAGGAGATCACATGACCCGGGACACTGCAACCATCATAAATATGAGTCCGTTGCCAAGGGTTTAAATTTTGATCACGTGACCAGGGGGATGCTGCAACGGTCATAAGTGTGAAAAACGGTCATAAGTCACTTTTTTTCCCACGCTTGTAGAATTTCAAATTGTTGTAAGTCGAGGTCTACTTCTATTTGTGTAAGTGTGGATTTATTTATTAATTTATACGTCAGAAACCGGATGCAAATGCTGGTTTCCACCAAAAACATCACAAATCACAATTACGTAACCACAGGATGCTGCCCATGGCCGTAATACAGGCCAGTTATTGTGCATCCAAAATGCAGTCACGTGACTGGGGTGGGGGTGGGGAGACTGTCCGGATGTCAGAACTTTTGAATCTGGAGTGATATGTGGCGTTTTTTTGTGATCAGTACGTGTCGAACAGTCACTAACCAACCAGTTGTAAATTGGGGACTTCTTGTACTCAGAAGTGAGAAGATAAGAAAAAAAAGTGTTGGGTCTGGTTGATTTCCTGTAGGGATTTCCTAACCCGACCAGGTAACTTTGTTAGCTTCTGGGGTGCTACTCCCTTCTTGCATGGATGATATGACCTAGTTCGGTAATGAAATGTCTGCAGAAATACAGCCAAGGATGGAGACCACCAAAGACCCTACAATGCTCCTGCTGCTCCTCCTCCATCCTCCCCCTCCTCCTCCCTGTCCTCCTCCCCCTCCTTTTTTCTCCTCCTTCTCTTTCTCCTCCTCCTCCTCTTCCTCTTTTCCTTCTCTCCCTCCTCCCCCTCCTCCTCCCCCTCCCCCTCCTCCCGCTGCTCTTCCTCCCCTGCTCTTCCCTCTTCCTCCCTTCTCCTCTTCCCCCTCCCCCTCCCGTCTCCTCCTCCTCCCCTCCTTTCCCCCTTCCTCATCTCTTCCTCCTCCCCCTCCTCTTCCTCTCTTCCTTCTCCTGCTCCCTACGCTCCCCCCTCCCTTCTAGCACTGATGATGTTACCTAGCTGAGTCATGAAACGTCTACAAGAAAACCCCCGAGCTCAGAGAGCACGAGGGACCCCAAAATTCAACCCTGAGCTGCAAATATTCTATTGTCAACCATCTGTGGGAAGTCAGCCCCCCTCCGAGAAAGAAATATTTTTGGAAATATTTCCCTAAAGGATTTTAAAAGCAGAAACCAACCCCCCCCCCAAGTCTCTGTGCCCCAAACAGGAACCAAGTCTGCAGAAATGCAGATGTGATAATCTTGTCAGAAAGACTGGAATCAGGAAACTGGGATTAGGAAGAAAGATCCTTAGAATCAACACACCAAAAATCTAAGAGTCATCAGCCACAGCCCCAGGGAAGCAGGATATGACCTTTGGGACATAATAGGATTAACCCACCACCATCAGAATACCAGAAAGGCACACTCCGACTCAGGTCAAAGTTCATGCCACAGGAATAACTCCAAACAAAAGGCTCCAGAGGGTATAAAAACCCACTCCCTACATGTGCTCACTCTCTTTCTTCCACAGCTATCTTCCTGTCTGGCTCTCTTCTTCAATAAACTGCAACCTTCTTTCTAAAGCAGTCTCCATGTTGTTTATTCCCGGCTTGGACTGTTGTTTTTCCTATCTAGGGATAATTTAATCATTGGTTCCCGATGAGAAGAAAACTTACTCCTTTAGACAGAGAGCTGTTTGTCTGTTAATGATAAGCCTGCTGTTTGACAGTCTTTAAGATGTATGATATTCATTGCTTTTTTCTGAAAGTCGGCAGGAGCCCGCCTGCAATTTCAGCCTTCACACCAGCTTGTATCATATTTCCACACCAATGACAGCAGTTTGTTCTGGGATCATTTTGCCAGTCAAGTCACTGGTCGCCAGTGATGGATATCGTGGCATAAAGAGTTTGTGGTCAGGGCACAAAGTCTGAGGTTTAAATTATCAGCTTATTGTTTCAAGCATCTTAAGCAGTTAACCATGATCTGCATCTTGGCAGCATGAAAGCCCCGTGAGCAAAAAAAAATATCTTTATTTCCAATTTTGGGCTGGCAGGATAAATCAGACAGGAATCAGATTAGATGTACTAATTCTATCTTCTTATAAGCTATACAGGCAGTCCTCCACATACGACCACAAGGGAGCCCAAAATTTCCATTGCTAAGTGAGACAGTTCTTAAGTGAGTTTTATCTCCATTTTATGACCTTACTTACCACATTTGCTAATTTTGCTTGTCAGATGGTCGCAAAAGGGGATAGCGCAATCGTTATAAATATAATGCTTGGTAACTACCGTGTCTTTACGATGGTTTCAGTATCCTGAGGTCATGTGATCCCCTTCTAACAAGCAAAGTCAATGGGGAAGCCGGATTCATTTAATGACCATATTACTCACTTAACAACTGCAGTGATTCACTTAACAACTGTGTCAAGAAAGATCATAAAGTGTGGAAAAATTCACTTAACAAATGTCTCACTTAACAACAAAAATTTTGGGCTCAATTGTGGTCGTAAGTTGAGGACTACCTGTATTTATTTGTAAAATGTATTAGTCGCCCATCTTAACACTGGTAAGTCTGAGTAGCTTATACTGTATAGATAGTCCTTGACTTACAATCATTCAATTTGCGACTGTTTTAAGTTACAATAGGACTGGGAGAAGTGCTTTATGACCAATCCCCATACTTACGACCATTGTAGTATCATGTGATCAAAAATTGGGAACTTGGCAACCGGCATATATTTATGACGGTTGCAGCATCCCAGGATCACATGATCACTATTTGTGACCTTCTCAACTGGCTTTTGACAATGAGGAAAGTCGGATTCACTTAATGACCGCATGATTCACTTAGCAACTACGGTGATCCACCTAACAGCTGTGGCAAAAAAGATCATCAAACTCAGACACCGTTCTGATTTTAGTACCAGATTGGCCAAATTAGAGAATTAAAACTATTTCACCTAAATTACAAAAATTGCGAATCATTAGATGGCAGCAAAGAGTTCACAGGCGTT